TCCAATTTTAGGATGTCTTTTTATGTAAAAGGGTTCCATATCACAGAACAATACTCAAGGTGCGGAAGTACGTACGCTTTATATAGTCGTTTCAATATTGCGGGATTATCAGTATGAACGGACCGAAGAATTGTAAATAAAACAGAGTACGCCCTATTTACCACATTGTCAATGTGATGCGAAAACTTCAAGTCACAATCCATCAAAACTCCCAAGTCCTTAGCAATGGAGCAGTTTTTCAAAGTACTCCCGTTTATCTCATAGACAAAATTTTGGTCATCACCTAAATGCATAACAAAACATTTATTCAAGTTAACTGGGATGCCAGAGCAGGATGCCCAGCAATTCTAGCAGTAATTAATTATAATTCTAGCAGCAAGGTCAATTCTACACTGACTTCTGCTGTTCGTACGGTCACTATGCTGTTTTTGCCTTCTGGGATGATTTGAGCGTTTAATACGAATTGGGAGAAATTGATTCAATTCTATAATCTCGGATATGCTGTTGTGTGTACAATAACAGTTTACGCTGTCTTCTGCTGATCTGCACACAGTTATCTCGAATTGTTGGTATCCAAAACTTGGTACGGATATTTGCTATGGTCCCGCTGACTCCCTGATGGCCAGTTTTTTCGTAATACTCCTGTATGATTAGTTTTGTGATGGGATGATTGGGGGGAAGAAGGATAGGGTTACGTGTAATTTCGGGTAGTACTGATATTTGCAATCTTTCGAAACATCTTAGTATACCTTCCGTATCCGGGAGTGGCAGTTTCTTTTCTTTGTCGGTCAAAATTTTGAGTTGTGGTTGTATCAATTTTATAATGCATCAGTGCGTCACCTCTGCTTCGCAGAGGCTCGCAATGGCCATATTTTTGTATGCCACACTCATTCCCGCATAATAATGACATTGAAACTCACCGCGCTATGTAGGCTATCACGAATAATTCGTAAACAACTACTCATTCGTAGAGGTTTTCCATGTGAGATCGGTATTTTTGCGCGGATAAAACCTTTTCCAGAAGAACGGATGCAAATTTGAATAGGCTTTTGGAATTTTTATGGCTTGGTAGTCGTCGTAAGGACTATAAACATAGTGGGCTACACCTCTGTGCAAAAATCTTTTCAAATAATCAGGTGAAATCTTGAAAAATTGACCGTTTACACAGCCAATGCTTTTTGGCGCTGTTTTCGTAAAGTAGTAGACTTTTCATTACTTTTTTAGGCTAACGTCTATGGCTTACACATTAGCTTGTCAAATATATCCTTAACTCTGCAAAAAGTAGTACTACGGACCCAAATTTGCTGGCCAGAAGCCAAGTGGATCCGTTTAACGCGCAATTTTCAATGGATCTACTCAACGGATCCGCTCATGCTTTTGTACAGTGAGCTTTCATGCTGGTAGAGTGCGCTATGCAAAATTTGGGCTCAGGACGTTGGCTGGAACATGCTCTACGAATTTCGTGACAGACAGAGATTCACACACACACACACACACACACACACACACACACACACACACACACACACACACACACACACACACACACACACACACACACACACACACACACACACACACACACACACACACACACACACACACACACACACACACACACACACAGAGACAAACGTAAACAACCCTTAGCCCGTTATTATAAGTTATGATTTTCAGCGGCGTTAATCTCTTCCGTGTTGAGATCATGCTGATAATCCGTTTGGATATCTGAAAGCTCAGGTATGGCTATTTTCAGTTTTTGTTAATTTTCATTCGATATCACATTTTCAAGTTTGAGTTTGGGATCGTAATACTGTTGCCATCGCTTTTTTTGTCTTAAACCATGATGACAATATGGGTAGCGGCAATCCCTTGTTTTCTTCTGTGTCGGTGCGCGTCGCATATGATCACCTTTCTTGAAAAGTCTTTCCGACTAGTGTCTTCTGAATTTACTCCTTTGTTTTCTTCAATATTTTCTACAACTGTTTGTCTATTTTTTTCTGCTTGAATGTCTTCGCTTTTCGCGGTTATGCATAGAGGGAAATCTTGGTTGGTGTACAGTTCATTTTTCACCAGGAATTACGGTCCTTTGATCCACTAAGGCTTGATGATTTCAGCTGAGTTAGTGCCTTGGGTAGCGTAATCTGCGAAATTCTTTTCACTAGGGATATTTAAATTGACATTCATTCCCTTTTTCGGTAATCTTGCAAAGCGCTTCTTTTATTTTTGCGACTCGATTATTAACAAGAGAGCCACATTTTTTGGTTTGTTTGTATTGACCCAACAAAGAGTATTTGTGAGCTATATACAGGGTGTCCCAAAAGTATGTATGCACTGTTTGATCGTTAATATCTCTTTTCCCAAGAAGCCTTTTGCCTTGCTTCAGGTACCGTTTTGTAGAGCTGGCTTCAACTTAGATTTGCATTATAAAAGGAATCATCCAGCTCTTCTTCATTACTGTAGGATTACGGTCGAAACTTGAAACATATGGTGTCAATGTGGGTGTTTTATGGACGCTGGGTTCAATACTCAACTACTCACAAGATTACGAAGCTTTCTAAACGGTGCAACCGCACTTTTTAGGAACATTGAAAAAATGGCCGTTACCTCTTACCTGGCATAACTCTTCAATGAAGCGATGATCGTTAATATCTCTTTTCCCAAACAGTCTTTTGCCTTGCTTCAGGTACCGTTGAAGCATCATAATGAGTTGGGAACTTTACAGTTAGAATCACAACTCTAGTTAGCCTAGTGTAAAAGCTTTCAGGCTTTTTTGTTTTCTTTCTGGGATAAAATACGGCCTTTCATTGCTCAAAACCCTCTTTGAAGTTTCTACCGTAATCCTACAGTAATGAAGAGCTGTCGGTGATTCTCTCCATACTTTCACTCTAAGTTGAAACCAGCTCTACAAAATGGTACCTGAAGCAAGGCAAAAGACTTCTTAGGAAGAGAGATATCAAGGATCAAACAGCGCATACATACTTGGGGACAGGGGACACCCTGCATGTGAACAGCGCTGATTTTCAAGTCTATTTCATTTATTACAAACCAAGTAAGCTTCATTCCCATATCTAATGCCATCAATTCCAAACGAGGGATTGTTACTGGACTGATTTTGTAGATTTTTCTTTGGGGATATTCTACTATGAGCTATTAGTAGATGGCTTTCGATACTGTCGCTTGAGTTTTTCGTTCGTATACACACGCATGCCGCATAGCTTCTTATTGATGCATCCACAAATGTGTGGCTTTGATGATCTTTTTCTTTAGCATGTGTTGTTATCTTTCTTGGGATGGCAACATAGAAATCACTTGCCTCGTCGCACAAGCTGCGCCAGCTCTTGTCATCTTCTTCAAATGAAGGGGGGTCCCACTTGTATGGTTTCTGCCAAAGATCTTGCATAAAAACGCGTGCGATCAATAACAATGGGGTAAGAAATCCTAAGGGATCGAATATGGAATGTATCGCCTGTAGTACTGATCGTTTTGTAGGATTTGGCGTGTACTTCATCTTTGACTTCAGCTTCAGTAGATGTTGCTTCGGGTCCCATTCCACTCCAAGTATCTTGTGGTCCTTGTGACTTCCGATATCATTTGCGTTAATGTTGTTGTTACATTGCGAATCGTTGGAGATATACTCTCTCAAATTCATCGACATATCCTTGAAAACTTGTTTGCTAGGAACGTATTTGTTTATTGCTTCTTCGGTAGACTCCGCTGATAGTAAGACACTGTCTACATAGAGATTTCTTATGATTTCTTAAGAAGTTGGCGAATGCAATTCGTTGTCCAGATAGTATTTTATGGACATTGCAAGGAGTGAGGGCGAGGCGTTGATGCCAAAGGCTAGTTTCTGAAACCCATAATTCTCACGTTGTTGTAAGTTAACGGCTTATCAGTTTCTTTCAGCAAAATCTTACGGCGTCTCTTTCTGTCTCCTGTAGGTAGATTGTATGAAAAACTTTTTCAACATCAGCTATGAGTATCTTGTTACCGATTCTAGCCTGTATCAAGATACCTAGTAAACTGGGAAGAAGCATAGGACTCTGATGTATGACATCGTTTAAACTTTATTCTCCCTTTTGTTTTGAAAATGCATCTAAGAATATTCTCACTTTTATCGTGTGACTTGATGGTTTTATCATTGCTTGGTGTGGTATGTAGTACAGTTGAGTTTCAGCTTTCCGTTTTTCTCGAACCTCTTTTCAGACAAATGCATCGGAAAGTTCGCGGCCTCAAAGCATGCTACATGGAGCGCCGCGGCCTTTAAGATTTCAGCCCCGCACGCCGCGGTCCGTATATATTTTACCGGGAACGCAGCGGCCAAACTTGAAATTGGGAAGAGATTATCGGGACCACCTCGCTCGGCGGGCCGCGGTCCTTATCAAAGGCCGCACTTCTTACATGCTGTAGGGTAAGGCGCAATCCGCGTGAGGTACGCCGCAGCGATGGGGCTATTCTAAGTGTTTATAAAGGTGGGTATCACTTCTCGGATTTGGTCCTTTCTGACAGAATCAAATTTTTATGATTATGAATTAACACTAGATGATGTCGACAGATGAGCTAACAAGTTGCTCAGTTTGCACTCAAGTCGTCATTGTGAAAGACAGACTAAATAGTTCTGGGCCCTACAAGCATGCTAATCGGGTCAACTACAGGGGCTTAACGGGCTCTTACAGGATGCGCCGCGGTTACTAATCGGGTCTAATATATGGGTTTACCGGGCAGCTCACGGCATGGATGACTGGTGATCGAACAAGCACCCGCGAACTTCCCGGTGCAATTGTCTGAGTTCTATGATACCTGTTCTCAACTGGTCGTCTATTATCTTCCAATATTGTTCCCACAGTTTCGGATTTTGATAAGACAGTTTGAGTTGATGAAGCCTACTAAGCGCCAAATTAAAATTATCGGAAAGTCTATTTTTGTTCTCTTTCCATGGCAATTGCACAGATATTGGTGCTCACGTATTTGCACTGTAGAGTTGAAATTTTCATAATTTATTCGGCCTCTTGTTGCTGTGTAGGAGCATTTACAAACTCGTTCTCATTAAATTGGAACATCTCATAGTGTCGGTAAAAGTCTTCGACGTCCACAGTAAGTGAATGATTTCTCCAGCCACTGAATTGCTCATGATGAGTAGAGTGAGATCCTGAGATAACGTGACCGAAGAAGGTGGACGTTACATAGAAGCCGGAAGGAAGCTGTATGGGTTGATCGTCGATTACAAGAATACTATTGAAATAGTCTATGTCTAGCAAGATTTCTGGCTCTACAATCGTTTGTTTGAGAAGAGTCTTTCGTAATAATGAAACAAATCCTTAATGACAAGGAGCTAATCTATTAGGTAATAGAATAAAAATGAAAATAAAAAATAAAAAACTCCGTTTCGTTCCTACCCTTAGACGGAGTAAAGGAATTATTAATAGCCCTCCCCGGGAGTCCTCAGTAAGGAAGGAGGGCTATCTAATAAGTAAAAATTCACTTACCTGAATCTATTGTGTCCTTGTCCGGTGATGGCATCCTGAAATGAAGCGGATGGACGTAAAGGGTAAAAAGGCCGTTATCAGTGAATATTTCTATGATGGATACTCAGCTAAGTTTCTATTTATTGACTGTAGACGCAGGCAAAATTTTTGCTCAAAGCACGAAAGTAATCCTTTTAAGTGTGTGTGTGTGTGTGTGTGTGTGTGTGTGTGTGTGTGTGTGTGTGTGTGTATATATATATATATATATATATATATATGTGTGTGTGATGTGATGTGATATGATGTGATGTGGTGTGGTGTATAAATATACGCTTATATATTATTTATATACAATATGTCATTTAATAAAATTAGAAACTTACTCAAAAACTTTTTTGATTTTGTTAAGAATAGCTTTATTACTGTCTGTTAGATTGTATTTATAAAGCACATATTTATTTTTATTGACCATCTCAAAAATGTTTGCCAAAATGAACGAATTAGTATATCCATTACCTTTAACTATCATTCTGAGCTTTTTAATTCTGTCCAAGAAATCCTCAAACTCTGAGCAAGTTCTGGCAATTCGTAAACATTCAGAGTAGATAACAGCACGTTTAATTTTAGACGAAGTACAGGAATTTACATGTATAAAACGTTTTATAGGAAAATTAAAATTATCTGTTTTATTATACATTTTAGTACTAATATGTTCATTATTTATGCTAATGTGTAGATCCAAGTAATTACAGTGATAATCATCAATATGTGTTGACTCAAAATGTAGTTAATGATCATATACTTCTTCTAAGATATTATGAATATTAATAGCAGAATTATAAATGATTAGTATATCATCCATATATCTAAAGGGAAAAATTTTGAAATTATATTTGCTTGTTTTGAAAATCTGTATTCATACCATGCTAAGGTAAGATCGGCAAGTAAAGGACTGCAAATACCTCCTTGAGGAACTCCTATTTTTTGTTTGAAAAGTATATTACACAGTTTGGTAAAGCTGTTGTCAAGTAAATAATCTATTAAATATAGTATATCAGCTATTTTGTAGTACCGTATACGTGAATTAGTATTACAAGTATTATCCGTGTAGTAAACTTTATTATATCCATTATAGGCTATATATGTCTTGTTTGCGTTTTTAAAACATAATTTCAATATTTCTTTGGTATTATTTTTGATTATATTATGGGGTAAATTAGTAAACATGTTAGTAAAGTCTGCTAAATACAGCTTGGGATCAAGGTCAAGCGTGCTGATGCGATCCGGGACCCACATTACGACCCCCCCCTCTTTGAGGGCACCCATCCGTACGACCCCCCCACCCTTTCCCTCTCCCCCCCCCCCTCCCCACCTTCACCCATTTATTCCCCTTACCTCCCCTGCCCACATTCCTCGCGGTGACCTGCATAAACGAATGTCAATCTCAAACACCTGCGTGAGAACTTCAGTGAGGTTTCGGAAGCAGAATTTCCAGGCCTATGGGTGCGTCCATCATCTGCAGCACAACACATCTCTAATAATGTTTGAGATTCTGCAAGTCTTTTTTTTTTGAATTTTCAGCATACTTCAGGCCAGCAAATTCGATTCCCGTAGACGACACAAATTTTTTGCACGGAGAAAAAAACGCATTCTTGAACTACAAAAAATGTTTTCAACTAACAAGCTTACTTCCTACCTCTTCCACAGTTTTTCCCGCGAAAAAAACTGCTTGAGCGCCGTCCAGAACGACGTCATAAACGTGCATGAGCACGGTAGTTTGAAAATTCGTAACTAAGGCCAGGAAAACAATGAGAGGCTGGAAAGCACAGGTTCTGCAGTATAGTGCCCAGACTATCCAAAGAAAAAATTTCAGCTCTTGAGGAGCAGTAAGCTCGAAAAAATTTAGATGCGACTCTCGCAAATTTAGATGCGATCCTAAAAAGCAAAAATTGGGATTTTTGAGCTTAAAATTTTGTAACTTACCAGAGGAGTTATGAAACAGCCTGCAATTTTTATGAGGGAAAGTAGGAGGATGGCCTCATATTACAGCAGAATTGCAGCCAACAAGCTTCAATAGCTCCGAAGAAATTTAGATGCGACCCAGATACGACCCCCCTTTCCTGACTTTTTGCTACCATACATAAAATCATAATAAAATCCACAGTTGACAAAATAACACCAAATTTTGCAGTGATATAGCGGAGCATCTCAAAAGTACAGATAAATCATATGAGCCCGTGAAAAACATTACAAAAAGATTTAGAATTTTATGATGGTCACAGCTGGTAAAGACATTCGCTTTTGTCGAGTGTGTGAGGCTTCAGGAAGGCTTCAGAAACAAGATTTCTGAGGCAATCGGTACATTTAGCATTTTTATAAAATAATACATCCTTCAAAAGTGTTTTGAGCTCTTGTAAATGTTTTTTTTGAGAATTTTTACAGATTTTTTATCTTTTTTATTCTGATTTCCACTTTTTTATAAATTCATTGTAAAGAACATAACTAATTGTCTGTTTTTTGATTCCCTCTGAAGCCTAGGCTATTTTAGCCTAGCTACCTCCTCTTACGACCCCCCCCCCCCCACCTTGGATACCCTCTTACGACTCCCCGTTGCGACAGACGCATCACAAGCTTGACCCTGCTTGGGATTATTTATACTAATGTTTCTAAGTTTATTACTAATATTTATATCGTCTATTGACCAATAACCTATGAAATTTCTATAATGAGTTTTAATTGATTGCACGTATCTTCTAAAATGAATTCTGACAAAAGTAAGAATATTTGTTAACAATAGATAATGGCTTGATACTACTATGTGTAGCTCCAGTAATAAATCTAAATTTAATTGGTGTTTTATGTAATTTAGGTAAACAATATATCATAGGTATACTGTTATTTGTAATGATGAAGTTATCTTTGAGAGATCGTATGTCTTCCTCGGTAAGATCACAAAAATGCAGATGCTTACAAGGGAATGGTCAGAAGTCGAAGTGGCCAAACCAAAGAAGCTGTACATCATTCGATGCAGTATAAAACGCTGACTTCGAATCTGTCTTCCTTATCTGCTTCCCGATTCTGTGGACAAAACTACAAGCGGTTTTATTGTGAAAAAATCATACATAAAAACGGCGAAATTGAGCACATTGTTGCGCTTTTAGCTCAGCTTCTGGCTTTAAAAATTTTAAGTAAGCTAGCGGCATGTTTTGGCCCAACATTGAGGCGAACGTGGCTCTGTACGGCTAAATTTTCAATTTCACGCATAATTTCTTAGCAAAATAATGGTCTTTAACGGCTTATAGCTTCGTCCAGAAAAGCGTTAAGCAGGTAAGGAAGACAGATTTAGAGTCAGCGCTTCATGCTGCATCTAACGGTATGCAGCTTGTCTGGAATGGCCACTTCGATTTCCGACCATTTCCTTGTTAGTGATATGTTCATGAGAGAGTAGAATTACTTCCATTGCTTCTCCATACTGATTCCCAAGTTCTAAAACTGTTTCCGCACAGTTCTCGCACTGTGCTGAAACTGTGCGGGAATTGTGCGGAAACAGTTCCAGAACTGTGCTGCATGCGCTACAGCGCCCCGCACCGTTTTGAACGGCGGGAGTTGGAGAATTTTGACCGTTCTCAACGATTTTCTTTCGAATTTCTCTCATTTTGGCCTTATTCCTCCACCCCGCTTCCATTTTTGATCAGCCGAACTTCGAAACTCGAAGCGAGGTAAAAGAATGAGCGCATTTCTGCTCAGCGTATGCGACAAAATGAGTGTTCTTGTGTTCATCCATTCTCTCTTGATTTTGATTTTGATTTTGCTCGTGATTTTTGCTCAAGACAACATCATTTTTGCCAGTAAGCGGCTGCTAGTTTCCATAGCCTTCTGCCACGAATTAGGGAATAGGAGTAATTCTGAAATTGCATGAATTGGGGCTTGTCTCTTGCTTTTGATGATTTTGGGCGTTCTCAGCCCCTTTCGTTTTTCCATATCGTTGCTTCTTCGCTCTCTCTTCTATCCCGCTTCTGCTAGTGATGAGAAAAGCTGTGAACTTGAAACAGAGCTGAAGAGAAAACCTGTTCTGCTTCATGTATTTGGGAAGATGGACCTTCTCAGGCTCGTCCATCTTCTCTGCCATTTTTGTTCAGGCCTACTTCATGTGTTCTAGAGACTTGGTTATGTCAATTTCAATACAGATGCACTACTTAACGACTTGCTAAAACACATGAAGTAGATCTGAACAAAAATAGCGAAGAGAGAATGGACGAGCGCACGGAAGGCCCATCTTACCGGATACATGGAGCAGGACAGCGTTCAGTCCTCAACTTCGCTTCAAGTTCACAGCATTTCTCATCACAAGGAGAAGCGGGGTAGAAGAAAGAACGGGGAAGCAACGATGTGGAAGAAGGAAAGGGGCCAAGAATGCATAAGAAATCAGTCCTCATCGCTATCAAATGTTTAGGAAAAAAGGATTAGCTCTTCGTTTGTTATCCGTTCCTTCTTCTGCCTCGCTTCTCATTGTGATGAGGAAAGCTGCAGACTTGAAGCGGGGTTGAGGATTGAATGCTGTTCTGCTCCATGTTCCGGGGACAGGTGGAACTTGCTATTTTTGTTTTTGCAGCACACATCATTCAAACAAGGCAATGTTCTTGTGCTTCATCACACCCTTCTCTTTCTCCATAACATTATCTATCGCTCTTGTTTCTAGCCTGCTTCCTAGTGATCAAAGCTTCGAACTTGTACTATAATTCATTCTGTCCTGTTTCATGCGTGGAAGAATAGTCTTCGTACGCTTCATTTTCCACCGCCTTCAATTTCAAAGAACACCTTTTGTTCCAGAAATCCCCTGCGAAGCCAATACAGCCATCTGTCTTGAACTAGGGCATTCACCAAACACCAAAAAGCGCGAAGGAAGAATTTTGTTATGGTGAGAGTTTATGTTTATGCGTGAAGCACTGCTGAACTTGTGTATTTTTTATTTTGAGGTGCTGCTAACCTATTCCAAGAAAATGATAATATCAAGGATGTGTAAGATGGGATCCTGTGATAGGCCGTTGCGCCCAA